CGATCTCTGCTGCCCTTTATAAATCATCCCACTGCGTTCGGCTTTTGACTTTACAATTCCGTGTTTCCTCCTCCCCGTCGACGCCGTACGGCAAAATGGCGTCCCTTGCACTCACCTCGTCCTGCTCCCTCGGATTTTCCCAAGTTAAATCTCGCCTTTCGAAGCCCTCGCCCATCCGTGCCCAGCTCAGATCGGCACCGGAATCGACAGTCTCGCTTCCGGTTCCTCTGAAAACGACCTTCTCCAGCTGCAGCTTGGTTACTCCATTAACCTCTGCTTCCAGTGCTGGACTCCAGAAGCATCAGAGGTTAACTGTGAAGGCTGCATCAACGTCGGCGTCGGTGACCCCTGCGTCCCCACAACCGTGGCAAGGTGCGGCGATAAAGCCGTTGATCGCGTCTATTGCGACAGGTGTGATCCTCTGGTTCGTTCCCGTCCCTTCTGGCGTTTCCCGCAATGCGTGGCAGCTGCTTGCTATTTTCCTCGCCACGATTGTTGGCATCATTACCCAGCCGTTGCCTCTTGGTGCAGTGGCCTTGCTGGGACTCGGCGCTTCTGTACTCACTAAAACCCTAACATTCTCAGCGGCGTTCTCTGCTTTCGGCGATCCAATCCCATGGCTCATCGCGCTTGCCTTCTTCTTTGCTCGTGGTTTCATCAAGACCGGGCTCGGTAACCGCATTGCTTACCAATTTGTTTCCTTGTTTGGTTCTTCTTCTTTAGGATTGGGATATAGTCTGGTGTTCAGTGAGGCGCTTCTGGCGCCTGCAATTCCTTCCGTCTCTGCCAGAGCTGGAGGGATCTTTTTGCCTTTGGTCAAATCACTGTGTGTCGCCTGCGGTAGCAACGTAGGGGATGGAACCGAGAACAAATTGGGTTCTTGGCTGATGCTGACATGTTTCCAGACCTCCGTGATCTCGTCGTCCATGTTCTTGACAGCTATGGCGGCTAATCCCTTGAGTGCCAATTTGACTTTAAACACCATAAAGCAGACCATTGGATGGACGGATTGGGCTAAGGCAGCGATCGTGCCGGGTTTGGTGTCATTGATTGTGGTCCCGTTGCTGCTATATGTGATTTATCCTCCCTCCGTGAAGACTAGCCCAGATGCACCCAAGCTTGCAAGGGAGAAGCTCGCAAAGATGGGGCCTATGAGCAAGAATGAAATTATTATGGCTGGAACTCTGCTTCTAACGGTATAAAACTCTACACTCTGACATTGCTATTTATGATTAAAAATGGTTCAGATATGCAGGTATTTGTTGGTGCAATTTGGGTTATTCTTCATTTTCTGGGATCCTTTATGGCTTGATATTTCAATGGACATTTCTAACGTTGAACCAAAATTACTGCTTTACAATTAAGATCTAATTTTGGGGAAGGCAGTTCAAAGTAACATGACAAAGCGCACCAAAAGATATTCCTTGTATAGTTAGGTTGCTGCATTTGGTGGTAGATTGTTGGTTGGCTAAATTGCACCCACTATATAGATGCTCACAACATATGTAACATAAGTTGCTTAGAAGAAAATTGCATTTGAGCTAAGGAGGCCCTCAATCTTTTGCTTGTATCATATGAAGCTTATGTATATCTTATACCTGGGAGCAATAATTGGTTTATCTATATGAATGTTTGGCTCAATTTTGAGTACTATTTAGAAAAATAGTTCCCTAAGATTACATATCTTTGGATGTGCAGATTAAGTTATTGGATAGGATCTTAGGATGGTTAGTTGTAAAGAGGAAGAGGGAGAGATGCCCTAGGACTTCTTAAATGTTCTACAGATTTTGACACTCAAATAGTAACTGTGCAATTAAAAGTCTTGTTTCTAGAGGTTCTTGTAAGTGGCCTGGCCAATAATCAACTGAAATGGTTTTTATTAAAGTTTGGCTAAGAAGTAGCAGAGTGACATAGAAAGAGGCTTTTTAACTTGGCTTTTATATGTGCATCAGAATAGTCCTAGTAGAACGATCCACGGTAAACTAGCTTTTTCACACTTACTGAAAGTACTGTATAATTTCCTTCTTATTCAAAACGTTGAAAAGCTAAACTCATTTTCAGTCTCTTTCACTTGTTTTCTGAGAAGAAATTCTCTCTCAATTCAGGCACATTTCGGCATAGACCATGTTAGCTAGTTACTCCAACAGAAAATGTAGCTTGTAGCATTTAGTGGTTCTGGGTGACCATGCTTCTCATATGACTCATATCACCTAACACCATCATTGGGCAATTGATCTAATTGTGTTAGATGTGCTTTTGTTAGTTTTCAATTGTGTGTGACACTAGTCTTGTTTGTATATGAGCATGTCCACACATATAATGGCAATAGTCTCCCTCATGCATTGTTTTCTGTTGCATCAGGTGGGACTCTGGGTTTTTGGTGGAATGCTGAATGTGGATGCCGTTACTGCTGCTATTCTTGGGTTATCTATCCTCCTTATAACTGGTGTGGTTACATGGAAGGAGTGTTTGGCTGAAGCAGTTGCTTGGGATACACTAACTTGGTTTGCTGCACTCATTGCCATGGCTGGCTATCTCAACAAATATGGTCTTATCTCATGGTTCAGCCAAACTGTTGTTAAGGTTTGTCTCATTTTCCTCTCTGTTGTTACTGTTTGTCATATGAAATGGTCAGCACATTTCTGATTAGTCAGTTTAGTCTCTTCAATATTCCAACATCCCCATTTTAGTGATATTTTTGTCTCAGAGTCTCGGTTGTGATCTGATGATCTTGTTTTGGACATGGACTATGCTCTATGATCTTCCTTTTGCTCTTAGACCATGCATTATCATTTCCATGACATTTCTGTCCAAAAGTTCTGCTTGCATCATCTTGGCTGCTGACTTGTTGTCTGAGGTTTGGAAAGTAGAGGTCTAATCTAATCTAAAAGTAGACTGCAGTACATGATATGAGTGCTTAACTTAGAAAATGCTGCATACTCAAGTATTTGGTTTTGGCTAATGATATATCAAAGAACATCTTGAAAAAAGTGTCTATAACATTTGTCTACTCTTATTACAGTTTGTTGGAGGATTGGGGCTTTCATGGCAGTTGTCATTTGGCATTCTGGTTCTTCTATACTTCTACTCCCACTATTTCTTCGCTAGTGGAGCTGCTCACATTGGTGCTATGTTTACTGCCTTCTTGTCTGTGGCTAGTGCTCTGGGCACCCCACCATATTTTGGAGCCATGGTGCTTGCTTTCCTCTCAAACATCATGGGTGGCCTTACACATTATGGCATTGGGTCTGCCCCTGTTTTCTATGGTGCAAACTATGTTCCCCTAGCAAAATGGTGGGGTTATGGGTTCCTGATTTCAGTTGTCAATATATTGATCTGGCTTGGTGTTGGAGGTGTCTGGTGGAAGGCTATAGGCTTGTGGTGAAAGGCATGGCGCCAAAAGCCCGTATTTATGATGTTTTTTGTACACTCTCTGAAGCAGAGGTTAATTTTTGTCTTGATTCTTTGTCTTAGAAATAATTTTTTGGAAGATTTGGTGGCAAGAGTATGGTGGAAACATACATAAATTTTGAGGTCCACTGAGAACACAAATCATAATTTGTAGCAGAAAATTTTCTAACTGGCATTTCATATTCCTGCAAATAAATTAGTGAGGTTCTTTCTTAAACATAAATCTCTAAGACCCTCTGCTCCAATTCCAGATTTTTAATGCTTTTTCTTTTGGTACATTTGATAAAGTGGTAATGGGTTACATGATAGAGTATGGTCCTCTTTTCTCCATCTCTTCACTTGTCTGAAGATTTAGGGCGTTTCGTCTATCTGATTTTACTAGCCTATAGATATTTTCCTGAATTAGTGGATTAGGGAGTTTGGAAACATCAGTGGAGAGGCTAATTGCAACGGTTAAGTAATAGATGTACATTCTATTAGTTAATAATTACAATCATTAGCTATTTCTAACATATAAACCAAGCCAAATAGAACCCTAGACTCTGTATCTCCAACATAGTGTTTGTTTATAGGTGTAGAGTTAATACACTTGCCCAAGCACAGTTTTTACTTAAATTCTATTCCATCCATTTAAACGCTTGATAAAGCCTTGAACATGTAGTAGTATACGTTAAGCACATTCGAGTATATAACACTATAACAGGAGCAAAATTAGGCATCACAAATCCCCCTTTGATTGAAAACGGGATTTATGCCATTGTTTTTTGTACGCACATATCAACTATGCCAATTAGTGCCAGAGTAAATGGCTAAATGCATGGATTTCTTGGCTTTATCATTGCCATAAACTGAGGGATTATGATTTATAACCTGTGAACCAATCTTACCATCCAATCTTCAACCATATGATACTGAGCTCTAAATTTGATATTTTAAATTTTACCAGAAAAGGAAAACTCCAATGTCAGTTTCTAAATTTGAGCTCAAGTTTACATTTTAAGCTCACATGAATATTGCCTTGATGGAAGCTCTACTGGGATTAAGGAAAGGATAGAATAATCAAAGCAAAGATTGAGGTTACCCTTAGTTTTATATAAATGTATCAACTCTCCAGTACCTCTGAATCCAAATCCATATACAATCATCAAAATTCCTTCCCACATTTTTGTTCTTAGCATTGTGGTTATGGCCATGCAGGGTCTTCTTACTATCTCTGTTTTTCTTCTGCTTGTTTCTTCTTGTTCATGCAGCAGGCTGCAGCCTTGGACAAAAGACTATTTTGATGCATTAGATTTTCGTTCTTTCGGAGATGAAGAAGCTGCGGGCACCACTGATGGATTGGATTTTGGTTCTTTTGGAGATGAAGAAGCTGCAGGCACTACATTAATCAATGTTATGCATTATGGGGCCATAGGAAATGGTCAAACTGATGATTCACAAGTATGAATAATTCTCTTTTCCTTTCCTTTCTGCTTCAATTACATTTCTCCATGAAATATATATATATATATATATATATATATATACTGATTGCATTTTCTCTGCTAAAACTTGAATCCAAGGCGTTTATTAATGCTTGGCGTGATCTTTGCACTGTGGATCGAGGAGTCCCAGCCCTTTACATACCAGCAGGAAAAACTTTCCTTCTCGGTCAGGTCCAATTTCAGGGTCCATGCAAGGCCAGCAGTGTTCATGTTAAGGTCAATAAGTTAAGAGTTTCATTCTGGTTCAAAAGAAAAGTTGCATTTTTTACTGTTTCTTACTCTCCCCTTTTTTGTTTAACAGTTTGAAGGGAGTCTAACCGCCCCCTTGGGCACTGGCTGGGGAGGAAAAGCTGGACTGGACAAATGGATTCAGTTCGAGTATATAAGTAATCTTATCATTGAAGGAGGGGGCAAGATTGATGGCCAGGGTTCTGCCTGGTGGACTACTTGTGCCAAAGGGAGACAATATGTAATAATACTCAATCACCTTCTAAATTTACTTATTTCTTTTAAAGTTCTTGATGTTCATCATTCTAATTCCAAAATCAAAATACTGTCAGGGACAGGGAAAATTCCAGTGCCAGAGACCTACTGTAAGTAACTAAAAATTGTATGCTTTTCTGATGAAATTAACCTGTTTCTTAGGGTTTTTTTTTTATAAATTTGTTTTTGTTCTTTGTGTTTGCACAGGCTTTGCATTTCCACAGCTGCAATGGCCTGCAATTAAGTGGACTGACTCACCTCAACAGTGCACAGAACCATATTTCTTTAAGTGGCAGCAATGGTGTTACCATCTCCAATCTCTATATTATTGCACCTGAAGATAGTCCAAACACTGATGGAATTGACATTTCCACCTCCACCAATGTAAACATCAAAAATACTTTCATTGGAACTGGTAATTTGATCCTCAAACATTCCCTGCTTGATTGTTAAATATATTATCAAGTTCTGATTTTTCAGATATTCTTCCTCTATCCAGGTGATGATTGCATTGCCATCAATGGTGGGTCATCTGGGATCAACATCACAGGTGTTTCTTGTGGACCAGGCCATGGTATAAGCATTGGAAGTCTTGGACAAAATGGAGCCTATGAAACAGTAGAAGAAGTATATGTTGAGAATTGCAGCTTCAAAGGAACTGAAAATGGAGCAAGAATCAAGACGTGGAAGGTAAAATTAAATACAACATATATCATTTAAACCTTAACATGTCAAAACCAAAATTCATTAGATCATGATCATTTTTCCTTGGTAGGGCGGACGGGGATATGCAAGGAAGATATTATTCCAGCACATTAACTTCATTAATGTCAAAAATCCCATTATCATCAACCAGTTCTACTTCGATAAGAACAGCTTACCACAGCTAGCTGACAATAACTACTACCAAGAAATCAAAGTAAGTGATGTTACATACTCTGATCTGCACGGAACTTCTGCAAACGACATAGCAATTAATTTGAACTGCAACAAGGATGGAGGAGGGTGCAGCAACATTTTGATGGATGATGTTAGAATAACCCCAGCAGTTCCAGGAATGAAACTCAATGTCATTTGCAACAATGCATATGGAAATGTCACTTATGCTATCCCAAATGTCCCATGTTTATCACACTGACGTTAATAGTTGCTAGGACTTCTTTTTTATATATATTTTATTCTCTTTTAATTAAAAAATATAATGTGACAAAAGCAATGTAGTGAATACCGTATCGGCATGCGTATCAATTTTGTTATTGAAATAGTACGTATCGGATATCAAAATTTTTCACATACTGTTTCGGATTTATTATTATAAATATATATTTTTAAAAAATTAAATATCAAATTTTAAAATAAGATAAGAGATACTAATGTTTAAAACTATTATATTTTTATAAATTGAAAACAAGTTTAAAATGACTATTTTTAATCCCTCAACTTTTAATATGTGCATATTTTTAGTCCATCTACTTTAAGTTAAGGGACTAAAAATATGTATATTTAGATAAATTTAACGGAGTAATTGATAGAAAAATTTTTAAAAAAAAAACAATTTTCATAGTTGATGGATTAAAAAAATACATTAAAAAGTTAAATGACCAAAATTATATAAAACATTAAAGTTGATGACAAAAATGAAATTTACTCTTTTTTAAATTTAAATTGAGTTGTGCGACCAATTTTCGTTTACCAACCAATATACCGAAATATCAGCCGATACATCAAAATATCAATTGATAGTCGAAATTTGACCATAACGATCAAAATTTGACCAAAATGAAATTAGATCATATACCATTTTGATTTAATACAAAAATTGATACATACCAACTATACCGA